TTTTGACTGGTCCTTCTTGTAAGGACAATGATGCTGACCTTCTTGTAAGGACAATGATGCTACTTTTGACCAGTCCTTCATGTAAGGACAATGATGCTGACCTTCTTGTAAGGACAATGATGCTTACTTTCTTGTCAGGACAATGATGCTGACCTTCTTGTAAGGACAATGTTGCTGCTTGTAACCGGTTCTTATTGTAAAAACAATGATGCTGCTTTTGACCGGCCCTTCTTGAAAGGACAGTGATGCTGCTTTTGACCGATCCTTCTTGTAAGGACAATGATACTGCTTTTGACCAGCCCTTCTTGTGAGGACAAGGATGTTGCTTTTGACCAGCCCTTCTTGTAAGGACGACCGGTCCTTAGTGTTAAAGTGTAGTCAATATATGCTTGGAGATTTTTTTTAAAGGCACATCCAATATTTTATTAATCAATACAAAGCAGTCCTGAACACAATTTTACTTTAACATTGGCCAGATCAGACAAAGTTATCAATAGAAGAGTTCTGGTTAAATCATGTCGGTATTTTAAAATTAAGTTGTGTATGGATTGATTTCCAACTTCATCCCGTTCACGTTTTTGGCAGTTGTGAAACTAGTACTAAGACCAAGTCTGATTTTTAAAGTTAATATGAATTTGGCCCAAGTGCCGGTCGGAGCAGTCATAAATCTGTCACATTTTTACTTTCCAAACGTTGTGTACCTAACAAATGCATGGTATAATTTCGAATACGAATACGAATATTTATTTATTTTTTCAAAATCATGTACGAGACTAGAGACATCAATATAAACATTTGTTGTCAAATATTACCCAACTAATAAGCTTCAATGTTATTGCTAAATATTCGGTTTGACATGCAGCTGAATTAAACACGATGATTGATCTAGTGCACTTTTTTCACTCTAAACAAAGAAACGGGCAAATTTGATATTCGGGGTTGGGTGTTTTTGCGGATTAAACTATTTGCATGCTTGTTTATTATTATTGCGCGCGAAAATAAATTTTCGATTTTCGCTTTTGTAACAATTATTTCCTGCATTTTGTGCTGCAGAATATTCATTTTCATCCTGTATTGTGCAACTTCATTATTTATTTTTCGCTCTTACTAGGCGACAATGAAAATCCCCGTCTCTAATTCTGCACAAGAGAAAATGTCTATTCAGAACCTAATCAGCATGTTTTGACCCTCCTACTCATTCGGAACCTATAAAGCAGGGTTCAACCCTCTTCTGATAAGAACCTATAAAGCATGTTTCATGACGGCTTGTTCATTAAAAAGGTACATCGAGTATGATATAAGAGTACAACAAACTACGAGTATATGTCAATACAAAAGATGGAAGATGTTTTATAGAGTGTGTATTTGCTAAAGTACTATATACATGTATATACATTATGATTTTTTGTCTGGTTCAGAAAATTTATATTTTTTTTTCTCAAAATTTAATACTAAGGTATGGGGAAAATCTGGAATCAGAATATTTGTTTTGTCATCTAGTTGACCACAATATTTTTTTCTCTCCATCAAATTGGAGATCAGAATATTTTTTGAGGAAAAAACATACCCCTCCTTGAAGTTATATGGTCGTCCCTTAAGTCAGTATTTTGAGAGTTCAGACAAGTAATTGTTTTTTTTACATTTTAATTTCTTTCGCAATATTCTGATAGATATGCACACGATTTTGTAGTTTGTTTGCGTGACTGCGCAACTTGTCAGAACGTGACGCATTAATATGTTTTAAAGTAACTGAACCACGGAAGTCAATTTGTAATAATTTTACGTTTTAAAATAACAGGTATTTGTGAGTTGAAGATACATTATTTACCTGAAATGTGCACGGACATGATTTACTTCGTATTAAATATATGTGTATGGAAAACACTTTTTGGTGTATGTGCACTAATTTGTTAATAATGTTCCGCCATCATCCTTGTTAAAATGTTTACATTAAATGTCGAAAAACAAGTATTTATATTTGTTTTTGTTTCGTGTGTTTGTGTTTAAATAACAATTCAAACTTGTATTATTATGTATACTTTGTTTTTAGAATCAAGCAAATTTTTCATATTTTTATGAAATTAAAACATTATTGAGTGCTAGTAATTGCTGTTGAAGACAATACTGCAAAATATTCCATGAGTTTATATTTTTTTGCTTTGAAGGACTTCTTATACTGTTTAGCTAGAGTGAAAGGCAGAATGGCAATATTTAGAATCACTTCCAATAAGATAAATATATATTTATTGAGAAACTACCCCTTTACATCGGGGGCAAACACCAGCGGGGTATTATTGTTTGCGTCATACCATGGAAGTATTATATTGACTTATAATACTTCCATGGTCATACAAACTTTACATACAATATATACAGTGTACGTAAAAAAAAAACATCACTATAAATTAAAAATGTCAATATAATCGTGAAAGTATTTCTTTTAAAATCTAACCTTTGACAATAAACATTTATAAAAATGAATAAAAGAAATCGTAAAAGTGCATTGCGATATCTTGAATATTATTAAAAGATTAAACATATAAAGATAAAAATGATTTGGATTATTAGAATGTCATCCATCTATTTCTATTGGAGAATGAACACAATTTTGACAAAATCTTTAAAAATTGTAGTTTTAGCATGGGGACAAAGTCCCAAATTAAAGGAAGAAAATCAATAAAATGAAGAAAAAAAAACTTTAAACAAATGAATTGAAAATTGTTAACTTTTTTTTTCTAACTTTTTCATGTTCCCATATTTGCGCAGAAATCTCTTTCTTTCTGTAGCCTGGCATCCTGACCCAATCTAATACTTCGTCGATAATCTACTGTCGAGTAGTGAACCAGGATCATAGGCTATTTCTTTCTGCCGGTATCGTTTGTCACGGGACTTTGAATTAACATAATATTGGAAGGAGCACCATATTTTGTTATTTTTGATTACCGAAAGAATACTGCCAGTTAAACTTACATCTTAAAAGGAGTCTGGAGCTTATTCAACTTATACAGCTATCAAAATGTGTTCTCGTGGGAAACTCACCAGATCACTCAGTCAGATTTCAGTATCTGTTCAGAATAACAAACCGAATTGGCATCTTCGTCGTTTAAAGATATAAATTATAACAATTTTGTTTTAATAATTCTTTGATATGAAAAAAACTGTTTCCTGATGAATGTGTTTCTTAGTTTACATTGAAAAAATACATAAGTGTACCCGTCGAGTATATTCGTTTCTCCGAGAACAGAAAACCATCGTTACTGTATAACTTGGAATGTACTAGTGTCAAATAAATGTCAGATTGTTTAGGTGAGGATTGTACTAGTGTCAAGTAGTTGTCATATTGTTTAGGGGAGAATTGCACTAGTCTCTAGTAAATTTCAGATTGTAAAGGGGAGGATTGTACTAGTGTCAAGTAAATGTCAGTTGTTTAGGGAAGGATTTTACTAGTGTTAAGTAAATGTCAGATTGTATAGGGGAGGATTACACTAGTGTTAAGTAAATGCCAGATTGTATAGGGGAGGATTGTAATAGTGTCAAGTAAATGTCAGATTGTTTAGGGGAGGATTGTACTAATGTCAAATTAATGTCGTTGTTTAGGGGAAGATAACAATAGTTTCGGGTAAATGTAAGATTGAATATGGGAGGATTGTACTAGTATTAAGTAAATGGCAAATTGTATATGGAAAGATTGCGCTACTGTCAAGTAGTTGTCAGATTGTTTAGGGGAGAATTGCACTACTGTTAAGTAAATGTCAAATTGTAAAGGGAGGATTTTTCTAATGTCAATTAAATGTCTGATTGTTCAGGGAAGGATTGTACTAGTGTCAAGTAAATGTCAGATTGTACATGGAAGGATTGTAATAGTGTCAAGAAAATAGACATAAGAAGATGTGGTATGAGTGCCAATGAGACAACTCTCAATCCAAGTCACAATATGTAAAAAGTAAACAGTTATAGGTCAAAGTACGGCCTTTAACACGGAGACTTTGCTCACACTGAACAGCGAGCTATAAAGGGCCCAAAATGACTAGTGTAAAACAATTCAAACAGGAAAACCAACGGTCTATAGATATAAGAAGATGTGATATGAGTGCCAACGAGACAACTCTCCATCCAAGTCAAAATTTATAAAAGTAAACCATTATAGGTCAAAGTACTGTCTTCAACACGGAGCCTTCGCTCACACCGAACAGCAAGCTATAAAGGGCCCCAAAAATTACTAGTGTAAAACCATTCAAACGGGAAAACCAACGGTCTGGTCTATATAAAAAACGAGAAACGAGAAACACTTATGTACCACACCAACAAACGACAACCACTGAACAACTGGTTCCTGACTGATGTCTGATTGTATAGGTGAGGATCGGATTGTACTTGTGTCAAGAAAATGTCAGATTGTTAAGGGGAAGACTGTACTAGTTTCAAGTAAATGTCAAATTGTATAGGATAGGATTGTACTAGTGTCATGTAAATGTTAGATTGTCTAGGGGAAGATTGTACTAGTTTCAAGTAAATGTCAAATTGTATAGGATAGGATTGTACTAGTGTCATGTAAATGTCAAATAGTATAGGGGAGGATTGTATTACTGTCAAGTAAACGTCAAGTTGTATATGGGAGGATTGTATTAGTGTCAAATAAATGTTAGATTTTCTAGGGGAAGATTGTACTATGGTCAAGTTAATGTCAGATTGTATAGGGGAGGATTGTACTAGTGTCAAGTAAATGTCAGTTTTTTAGGGGAGGATTGTCCTAGTGTTAAGTAAATGTCAGATTGTATAAGGAAGGATTGTACTAGTGTCAAGTAAATGTCAATTTGTATAGGGGAGGATTGTTCTAGTATCAAGTAAATGTCAATTTGTATAGGGAAGGATTGTACTAGTGTCAAGTAAATGGCAATTTGTATAGGGGAGGATTGTTATTCGTTTAATATTTAGTGTGAAGCAGGTTCAGATCAGAATGTAATTTAATGTATTCAAAAAATGACAGACAACAACAAAAACAGTTTTGAATGGTTTTTATTTTTATTAAAAAAGGTAATAAAAATATAACAGTATTTAATATTTGTAGAAAACAAAAAAATCTGTAAAAAGTATAAGCTTTTCTAAAAGTATATTATATATGAGATTCAAATGAGGTTATTCTGGATATGGACAGACAGTTGTCTTGTTCTGATGCTTTCGGTACTCTATTTCACAGAAACTATTTCATTGGCGTGTCATAGACATATCTGATTAAATGTGAATGATATATGTACAAATGCAATTACGTACTATAGTACTGTGGATTCAATTTTTGTGGATTTCGTAGGCACAGTTGAACCACGAATTTATATTTTCAACGAATTACAAATGGCAAAACCCTGACATTAGATATCCACGAAAGTTTTCCTCAATCCACGAAAATTGGTACCTACGAAAATAAATGAATCCATAGTATTTTAAAACAGAATCTTAAATAATAGTCAGCGCATTGCTATTCAATGCATCGCTTTGATAACTGGCCCTGCATACTTTTCAGTGTCTTATACACCATATTGTGGTGGAATTCCATATTGCTGTGTTGGATCCTGGCTATAACCCATATTCACTTGAGGTTTTGAAGTATTTGCCAAGACAATTCCTTGTGATGACTGAGTTTGGTTACTGTCTTGTGTTTTCTTTGCAATAAGAACGACCATGATAACGAACAACATGACTGCACCCAGACCACTAAGTATCAGGGAGTAGGGTACTCCCATATCGTATCCGCGATCAAGTATTAAAACTGCATGTAAAAATCGTCCAACTGCCACACATGTTATAACACCTGAAATAGAATAAAACAAGGATCGTTATGATATAACAAACTGCCACTCATGTAAAAATACATGACATAGAATGAATTAATGTTATGATATAACCAATATACAGGTAAGCAATGTAGTTTTTTATTTTTAGCCGCCATTTTTATGAAACTGTTAAAAAATGATAAATTGACGCAAATGTTCGAAATGTAAATTTGAACAACATAAATTGCGAGAAATGTGTGGAAGCGCGATCTTTTGTAGAGTGTTCATCATATGTAATGAGATTTTAAAATTAGAACCGGAAGTAATTTTTATTCTGCAAGAATTGAAGTAAATGGTTCTCACAATGATGTTATTAATACAGAGGCCCGTCTAAGAAATGAAAACATAGAGACCGATAAGGATGTTCATAGAATTCATTCGGAAATTTAAATAAGACAGATCTCGCTCGATTGGACATTAAACATGATGGCTCAGTTATTCGACTCTCTCGATTGAACATTGACACGAATGTTCAGTGACTTTTCTCTTCCGATTGAACTATTGAACACGAATGTTCAGCGACTTTTCTCTTTCGATTGAACTATTGAACACGAATGTTCAGTTACTATTCTCTTTCGATTGAACTATTGAACACGAATGTTCAGTGTCTTTTCTCTTTCGATTGAACTATTGAACACGAATGTTCAGTTACTATTCTATTTCGATTGAACTGTTGAACACGAATGTTCAGTTACTATTCTCTTTCAATTGAACTATTGAAGACGAATGGTCAGTTACTTTTCTCTTTCGATTGAACTATTGAACACGAATGTTCAGTGACTTTTCTCTTTCGATTGAACTATTGAACACGAATGTTCAGTTACTATTCTCTTTCGATTGAACTATTGAACACGAATGTTCAGTGACTTGGTCCTATTGATTGTAAGTGAACACAATTGTTCAGTTACTCGACTCTCTATTTCAGAGATTGAACAGTATTCAATAACTCGAACCTCTATATTGGAGATTATAAGAAACGTTAGCACTACCTTTTACATAAATAACCTCATCAACTTTTGAAAACAACATTTTTAGGTCTGTTACTACATAATTATATATCTTCTGTTAGTACGAAAATAAAACATTGTTTCGTGTAATGACGAGAACACCTGAAATTCAATGACAGTTTCAATGAATAGCAGCCAGAGTGTGATTATGTATGAAATGATAAGTTGAGCTGACAATGATTGCTGCCATTGAAGAGCTTTATGTGAGTCAGGTGACGATTGTTAGAACTTATATGTCGATTCATGTCACGATTGCATAAACTGATAAGTCGATTCAAGTCGATTCAAAAACTTACCTGCTATCAGGTTCAAAATAACAGGAGACATTAGATAGCTGTGGGCTTTCTGTCTATTAGCATACATAAATATCAGAATGGTGGCAATTATGCACAGTATGATACCAATGATCACTTCTATCTGGAATTCTAGTAATCCAATAACTGCAAAAAAAAAAATATCATCATTATGTTATATTCAACAGACATGGTGTTGATATTAATGACAATTGTCTACAGAGAAGAGTGAATAATTTTAGTATGTCGAATGTATACCAGGTAAAATGATGCAATTGTTTTATGTCTAACGTATACCACAGTGATTCACTTGTAGTATATCGAACATATACCGATAATAGTGATTCACTTGTAGTATATCGAACGTATACCGAGAATAGTTATTCACTTGTAGTATGTTGAATTTATACCATAGTGATTCACTTGTGATTTGTCTAACATATACCATAGTGATTCACTTGTAGTATATCGAACGTATACCGAGAATAGTGATTCACTTTTAGTATATCGAACGTATACCGAGAATAGTGATTCACTTGTAGTATATCGAACGTATACCGAGAATAGTGATTCACTTGTAGTATATCAAACGTATACTGAGTATAAAGATTCATTAGCAGTATGTTTAACGTATGCAGAGTTTAGTGATTCACCTGCAGCATGTTGAACATATACTGAATATAGGGATTTCCTTGCATTATGTCAAACGTGTAACGAATAAAGCGATACACTTTCAGTATGTCGAACGTATACCGAGTACAGTGTTCAACTTGTAGTATTTTGAATGACTGCCGATTATAGTGATTGATGTTCAGCTGGTTAAATGTATTTAACGAATACATTTATAGTGATTCACTTGAAGTATGTCGAACGTACATCGAGTATAGGTGTTAGCTGTAGTAAGTCAGGCGTATATTGAGTCTAGCGTTTCACATAAAGCATGTGGAGAGTAAAGAGAATATATATATATATATATATACACTATTATGTCCATTGTAAAATTTATTTGTATGAACTAAAAGCGGTGCTCTTCTCTTGTTAGTAGCGAGTATTGTTTTTATCCTGTAATTTAAACCCGTCATTTTAAGGATAAGTTGTTTAAATCCAAATAATTGTCTTGAGTTTTTTCAAAGAAAAGGACAATATTTAAACGCGGCAGCGAAGAGATCCCCAAAATGAACTGTTATTCAAAAATAAATATTCACACCAATGTTTGCGCTGAATAGAAATGGAGTACCAGTATACTTTATTTGTACAAGTATAAATAAAGCAAACATTTATTTTTGTACATGTTACTTGTACAACAGTTGGCTGATTTCAGGATAAACTAATTCACTTGTAGCATGTCAGACGTAAACCGAGTGAAGTGATTCACGTGTAGAATGTCGTTAGTTTATCGAGTAAATTGATTCACTTGTAGTATGTCGTTAGCATGCCGAGTAACGTTATTTACTTGTAGTATGTCAGATGTATACCGATTATAGTGATTCACTTTTAGTAAGTTGTAAGAATACCGAGTAAAGTGATTCACTTGTAGTATGTCGGAGTATACCGAGTGAAGTGATTCACTTGTAGAATGTCGGAGTATACCGAGTGAAGTGATTCACTTGTAGTATGTCGGAGTATACCGAGTGAAGTGATTCACTTGTAGTATGTTGGAGTATACCGAGTGAAATGATTCACTTGTAGTATGTCGGAGTATACCGATTGAAGTGATTTATGTAGTATGTCGGAATATACCGAGTAAAGTGATTCACTTGTAGTATGTCGGAGTATACCGAGTGAATTGATTCACTTGTAGTATGTCAAACATATACCGAAAATAGTGATTCACTTGTAGTATGTCGTTAGTATGTTGAATGTATCCTTTTGAATATAAACGACGACAAATTAATCTTTAAACTTTATAGACCAAACTTGTATGTTGCCTTCTAGATGTTTTCAGTTACATTTTGTTGGTTGCTTTTTCATTGGCCTGTATTACCATATCTACTCTCCTATGCATATTTGTATTTTGCAGAAATTAAATTTTAAGTAAATTGTTTACTTACATGCTAAACTAGAAGTATATCCATTTGCGACTGCATAAAAGAGTCCAACATTGACTGATTTGCCAGACAGCTCGAATACTATCCAGCCTGGAGCCAGAGCACCAGCAACCAGCAACAATAAAGCTATGATGTTGAAAATACCTGCGATTTTAATATTCATGTTTCTTTGTTGAAAGATATAGATTTAACGATTCTTAAGGTGTCGCTTTTGTTTTTATATCAATTGATCGGGAAATACCCGAAAAAAAATATCCTGTTGATATTTGTTGTTTTGCAATTTCAATTATTTTAGTTTTATTAGAAGTACGCAATTAGTTTTACCTAACCACAAACATGTATGTTTTGATACATGTGTTTACAGGTAAACGAACTAGGAAGGTACATAAGTGTATTCTATTTCTACAATAGAATTTTAATTAGGTCTCTACCTATCCCGATATTCTGATACTCCTTTATCACGGTGGGTTCGGCTGTCCTGCTAGAGAATGCGAAAACATGCTCGTGATCTCGTCATCTCGCCTCGGTGTTGGTGATCGATGAAATATGTAATCAAAAACAAAATAAGATTTTAATACGCTCGTTTTGTGAATCGTTTATATCTATTGACATCTTTCTTTCAATTTTGATAAATTTTAGATTTTACGTTTCTAAGTTTGCATTAGATAATTTTTGTAAAAGTATGGTGTTTTTTTTGGGGGGGGGGGGGGGGGATTTACCAGTTTTCCAACTTCCAGTTTGGACTCAATCCATAAGAAAGGCAAGATTTTCTATATTTTTAACAATAACTCGAAAAAGCTTGAAACATTTTTCAAGAAACTTTGATGACTTGTTTATATCTAATATAATAAAAATATAACTCCCATTGTTGTTGTTTGAGAATCTTCGAAAACTGTTCATTTTTAACTCTTTCGAGGGATATATGATTTTATTTGTTAAAAAGTCAAGGCCACAAACCTAGTTTAATTTGAGGTAGCCTATTGCTAAATTATTCATGTTTTGTGTCAATGGGTACCACTTAGTGTGCATATTTTTTTTTGGGGGGAGGGGGTGTGGGTATCTATATGAGCAGTGCTAACTGTGTTTCTAGTTGACATTGTGTGTGTATTTTTGTGTGTGTGTGTGTGTTTATGATAGGGATCACATATTTTTCTAGTAGATCATATAAATCCATTCAAAGCTTAAAGACGAGATAAAAGGGGGAAGGGCGTATCATAAGCTCTTGGCACAGTTCTTTATTTACGTTCTCTTGAATAACAGATGAAAACAATTGTTGAGATGTGTCAACTTAATTTCTTATGGTTTCAAAGTAAATACATAAAATAAAATTGTCCTTTATGCTGCGTCAGTGAGTGTAACTCAAGAGTGTTTATTTTTAGAACATATGAAACGAAAAAATAGACAAAAATGCTCACGGAGTGCACCTTCTTATCCAAAATCCACACAATCGTTCTGTGAAAACACAATGAAATATTTTAAAATTGTTCATTTTTGCAGTTGAAATGTGTCCTGATCCTGCGCTGGTGAGTCTTTGCTATGTTCTGGTGGGTCCTGATACGATGCAAGTGATTTTGACAAGACATTATTCTTATATCGAATCAAATATTACAAAATCAGTAGAATTAGACAATGAATTCGGATTTGTAAGACCTATTTTAACTTTTGATATCCACAGGACTGTATTAAATTTATTTCAAATAATCGTAACTATATATCACGAACATTTCCAATGACAAAAAAGGGTAACGTTTCCAAAAAGCAAATATTACAGACAGCAACCAACGACAATCACTAGGCGTGTAACATGCACATGTAGTGGGGTATGATATATTTGCGAGCGCGCAACCCTCTCACTTATCGGGGTCAATGATGTTACAATACATCATAAGAAGAAAACGTAAAAATAATTTAAAAAAATAAAATTGAGAATGGAAATGGGGATAGTGTCAAAGATACAAGAACTCGACAAAAGAGTAGAAAACAGCCCAAGGTCACAAATGGGTCTCAACACAGCGAGATAATCCCGCACCCGGTAGATGTAAGCATTTACAGGTCACCATACGACTTTAACAAATGAGCAAAATCCATAGCATATAGTCAGCTATAAAAGGCCCTGACATGACAAAATATAAAATAATTCAAACAAAAAAATGCGTTTAGACGGTAACTTAGACTTAACACTATGGTGTAAACACTTTCTTAACGCAATTATAAACATTTTACACAATGCAAAACATATAAATGCATATTCTGATTATATGTGGCGACCTGGATCTTTCTGATAGTACTGCTGGGATGTTTACGGTATGGCTTGGATCTTTCTGACTGTACTGTTGAGACGCTAACGGTATGAGCTGCATCTTTCTGATAGTACTGTTGTTGAAGTGATGACATAGATATTTCTGGTTGCATTGACGAGTTGTTTATGTGATGTCCTGGATTATTCCAATAACATTGGTGAGTTGTTTATGTGGTGACCTGGATTATTCTGGTTGCATTGACGAGTTCTTTTTGTGATGTCCTGGATTATTCCAATAACATTGATGAGTTGTTTATATGTTGTCTGGATTATTCTGGTTCCATAGATGAGATGTTTATGTGATGTCCTGGATTATTCCAATAACATTGGTGAGTTGTTTATGTGGTGACCTGGATTATTCTGGTTCCATAGATGAGATGTTTATGTGATGTCCTGGATTATTCCAATAACATTGATGAGTTGTTTATGTGGTGACCTGGATTATTCTGGTTCCATAGATGAGATGTTTATGTGATGTCCTGGATTATTCCAATAACATTGGTGAGTTGTTTATGTGATGAGCTGGATTATTCTGGTTGCATTGACGAGTTGTGTATGTGATGTCCTGGATTATTCCAATAACATTGACGAGTTTTTTATGTGGTGACCTGGATTATTCTGGTTACATTGACGAGTTGTTTATTTGATGTCCTGGATTATTCTGGTTGCATTGATGAGTTGTTCATGTCATGTCCAGGATTTTCTGGTTGCATTGATGAGTTGTTTGTGTGATATCCTGGACTATTCTAATAACATTGATGAGTTGTTTATGTGATGTCTTGTATTTTCTGGTTGCATTGATGAGTTATTTATTTGATGACCTGGATTATTCTGGTTGCATTGACGAGTTGGTTATGTGATGTCCTGGATTTTTCTAGTTGCATTGATGAGTTGTTAGTGTAATGTCCTGGATTTTTCTGATTGCATTGATGAGTTATTTATTTGATGACCTGGGTTATTCTGGTTGCATTGACGAGTTGTTTATGTAATGTCCTGGATTTTCTGGTTGCATTGACGAGTTGGTTATGTGATGTCCTGGATTTTTCTGGTTGCATTGATGAGTTGTTTATGTAATGTCCTGGATTTTTCTGATTGCATTGACGAGTTGTTTATGTGATGTCCTGGATTATTTGGTTGCATTGTAGAGATTTTATGTGATGACCTGGATTATTCTGGTTGCATTGAAGAGTTGTTTATGTTTTGTCCTGGATTATTCTTGTTGAATTGATGAGTTGTTCATGTGATGTCCTGGATTTTTCTGGTTGCATTGTTGATGAGCTATTTATGTAATGTCCTGGATTATTCTGGTTGCATTGACGAGTTGTTTATGTGATGTCCTGTATTATTTTGGTTGCATTGACGAGTTGTTCATGTGATGTCCTCGATTATTGTTGTTTATTGTTGAGTTAGTATGTTTAAACAACAACAGTTATTTGATGTATCTGCTTTCTCACATAAATGAGTCTAGGCCAACTGATCCTAGGAAATCGTTATTGGTTAGAAAATATGTGTGTGAATGATAAATAAGTACGGAAACATTAAAACAGACAGACACCATTAAGATATTAGAATAAAAGTTGATAATTATCGATTATCAATTCAGTTGTTTTTTTCATTTAATTGCAAGGAAGGACGAATAACCCTAAAAATTTACACAAGCGATGAATAACCCTATTATTCACCTGGCGAATACTTGTTCTATACAAGAGTTAATCTTCCATCGAAGTGACGTCATTGGTGCATGTAAACAAAATGGCAACGGCCAGGTTGGAAGCCCATCAAGTGACGAGGAAACAAAATTAAACAAAGTTTTGAAATTCATCTAGGGCAGAGGATGAACGACTCTTTTCAGGGCCATCGATATTTTGTAGAAAGAGTCTTCCGTTGTTGTACATACGAGAAATTCGTAGACGCAAATTATTAAATTTTTAACGTAAGAGTTTTCACAATATGTTACTACAGTTAGGCAAGTGATTTTGCAATGGTTCAAAAGGCCATTCAACTTTTCATTCGGTATAATAAAACAATTGTGGCCCCTTAGAAGCGATGCATATCCAAAATTGTCAACTCTAAAAAGATATTTCACTTCGCCGTGAAATAACATTTTAGGGTTGACAATTTAAGGGTTGACAATTTTGGATATCCTCCTTTTCTACGGGCTATAATTGTATAACATACCTGTCATTTAGTTATTGAAAAAGCTTTCCCACGAAAACACTTGTTTAAGTTTTAATTATTGGAATATTTAAGATAGCATTCCATCTTTTCATGTAGATATACTACATAGTAACAACTGTACGAAGTTTTAATTAGTACTTGTTTCCAACAAAATACCTACAAACATAAAAGATCAAAGGATACGGATTACAGAAAGTAATCCGCATTCCGATCTGGAGTTTCCCACAGGATATTAATATCATTTATAAATGAGTGGTAACACATAACGTTTGGATGTAGAAATATCGAATGTTAACTATATAAGTACTATAGCAGTTGAAAATCTCTTAAAGAAAGAATCACAGAAACGTATAGACAAAAAAAACCCAAAGAAACCTAGACCGCTTTTTAAAAAGTATACATTAATATTTCACCAAAATCACAGTGCAGAAACACTGGCAAACTGGTAAGTGATTACCTCAATTCAAGTTGTTGTAACAGTATTCCCCTTAGGGAACGACCACGCATTTAACTTCAAAAGGCGGGGGGTGTTCTGGTTTGTTCCTGAAAAATATATTCTGATCCCCAGTTTGATGAAAAAAATATTGTGGTCAAACAGATGACAAAAAAAAAAATTCTGAATCAATATTTTCCCCATACTTCACTAAAATCCGAAACATATATAAATGAACCAAAATAAAAAAAAATTATACAAGACTAACTAAGGTCAGAGGTTCCTGAC